TGACACTTTAGACAAAAAATTTGAACTTTTCTCACCCTATCTCATAATTTAAATTCAACTTAAAAAGAATAAGTCAATAGTTTAATAAGGCAATAGCTTAGTCCAAAAATATTGCCACACACTGCATGAACTCATTGAGAGGCAACCAAATTGTTCATTAGTACTAATCCCATTTCACACCACATAATTTAATGACCAATGAATTGAAAAGGGAAATTTATGATTGGTAAGAGAGAAATAACACTTGTACCATATGAGACAAGAAAATCAGTTTGTGAAGTTACACATCATATCATATCCTACTAATTTTTTAAACAAATGTTGTTGATAGTTTGCCCTAATTAATCATCAGAAAATAATAGTTTTATTTGTATTATATTAATTACTAAATATGATACGGGTATGAAAATATTTATACTTATTGGCATATTATGGTTGCCTAACGATTAAATAATTTGACAGAATATCTACTGAAACTTTATTAGCATATTGTCTCGTGGATTGTTCCAAAGAAGTTGAAACTCATAAATCACCGTTTAAAATACATACGGTTAAAAATTATGGTCAGTTGAACATGATTATACATTATTGATTTGAAAACTATAAATATAATGTATGATCATACTCTTATATACAACATCATAATCCTATATGATTCATCTTGCAAACCCTTGTTGAAGTCATAATTGAGCAATTTATTACAAACAATTACATAACTGCTCCCAAGTGGGGTGCCAATAGTATGCAGGTTGATGGGTCGCATTTAATGTTAAGGATTTTCATTTCCACTCATTATTCAACTTCAAGATTTTTTTTTTCTTTTTTTTTTCTCTCTCTCTTCAATTTTTATTTTAGAAGGGAAATAAAATTATTAGAGGGATAAAGAAAGAGTGGTCTAGGGTTTATCATGTCCCACCACTCGTAAACCACAACTAGTATAGAGCCCGTGCAATGCACGGGGTGCACAATTTTAAGGCTACTTAATTATCCAGACTTATAATTATATACATGAATACAGAAAAATGTACAGGATATATATAGTACGTGACCCGTGCGAGGCACGAGATATATTTATTTGAGAAATACTATGTTATAAGATGCAATATTCAATAAAAGTTTTATAATACGCAGGAAAATTATACAATAAGATAGTATTCGACAAACAAACAATCATATATTATTAAAGACCACCTTGTACACAACATTATGAGTTTGATTTTCCATACAATAATAATAAGATTTTTTGTAAAAAGATAAGAAGGAATTTTCAATCTACACAAACTTTAAACATTAGATATATTTACGTAAATCAATGACTATATAGACATTTAAACCCTTCAATTTAGGCTTGACATCTACTTTATTTATGGGTGACTGTAAAATAAAGATTTAATTTTGACCGATTAAATCTTTATTCATAGGCTTGACATATAAAACTCATTTGATGGGATTTTCTTAACTAAACCGTTCCTATAGGATAAAACAAATCTATACTTACCTTTGACTTTTCCAACAAAGGTAAAAAAATCGGTTCTGATCTTTATCCCATAACAAATCTTTAATGTCAAGCCTATAAATATCAAAACAAATCTGTAATTAATATCATTCAATTTCCAGCAAACATTAATTACATTTGACTTTTCTGCCTACTATTTCTAGTAAATAGGATGACTTTTTATATAAGTATAGATGTCATATAATGCAAAGACTGAGATCATAAAAAATAATCCTAAAAACTGAAACAATATATTTGCATAATTTAAGGCCATTAAGAAATCGATCTCTAAACTAGATTTGATTTTCAGAATATGTTTTTTCATTTCGAATTCCATACAAAATGGAATTCTTTCCAACGAATAGATGTCATAGCAAATATTAACTCTTAACTATTAGACTATTAGTACATACCGAGCAAATTGTGTACTGATTTTAGAAAGTTATAATGATTCATGTTAGGTAATTTTACATTTTATGCATGTTGAACGGTGGGTTTTAAATATTGTTTCATAGAATGTAAAAGTGTATTATATTATTTGTATGAGATGTTGAATTTGAAAATTAATAGAATTCTTCTTCATATGAATTTTAAATGTAACAATATTTTTTGGTATACACTACTAATAAAATCTATATTTAAAGTTTATATTTCTTTTTTTACCGGAAAAAATTTCTTAATTTAAGGAATCATATATCTTCAATCAGTCCACATATATATACATTCTTCACAATTTTAAATCTTGAATTTGATGAGAATTCGTATCTATGAGTGCAAAACATGGTTTAACAAATTAATTTTTTATTATTTTTCCAGCAATACTTCTTTATAAGATTTTTTGTGAAAATACAAAAGTAAATTCTTAATTTTAAATCAGCCGTACTTTAAAGAGTACAAATTTGTTGAAATTAAAATACAAAAGTAAATTCTTAATTTTAAACCAACCATACATTAAAGAGTACAAATTTGTTGAAATTACAAAAATAATTTTTTACATTTAAACAGACGTAAATTTAAATCAATTATAAAAAAGTAATATTTGTTTACCATTTAAATATTAAATCAGCCGTGATTAATGTTGTTTGTTTTAGTTGCCACGATTTTCTCCAAACTAAATTAACAACTGCCATGATTTAAGGGCAACATTTAATGCTGCTCTATTTTTAGGAGATATTAAATGTATTTGACGGGAAAAACTTGCTAAAAATGTTAAATGGTTAATCTTTTAATATAATGATAGATTGAATGACAAAATTTTGGATGCATTTTTTAATGACCATGAAAATGAAAATGATGTTACGGTGTTTTAGGGTTTATAATATTCAACACTTGATTTTTGTTTTTTCTGTTTTATTGACCGACTTGCAGAGCATTGTGACCGTCTGACTTTGAATGGATGAATTTGTATCCTAACTTTTTTTTGTCCCTTACAAATCCCAACTAACACAAACAAATATACTAATACAAATAAATACTGTCTTTTCCCATAAGGATTAACGAAAAATACCCGTTACACAATATGATAGAGACTGCTTATTCGGAAAATGCATGTTCATGTACATAGGGCTAAATCATACTTGTGGAATCATCCTTTAATTGATGAAACTAGTACAGAGCCCGTGCGATGCACGGGGTGCATAATTTTAAGGCTATTTATCCAGACTTATAATTATATACATGAATACAGAAAAATGTACGGGATATATATAGTATGTGACCCGTGCGTGGCACGGGATATATTTATTTGAAGAATACTATATTATAAAATGCAATATTCAATAAAAGTTTTATAATACGCAGGAAAATTATACAATAAGATAGTATTCGACAACATTATGAGTTTGATTTTCCATACAATAATAATAAGATTTTTTGTAAAAAGATAAGAAGGAATTTTCAATCTACACAAACTTTAAACATTAGATGTATTTACGTAAATCAATGACTATATAGACAACTAAACCCTTCAATTTAGGCTTGACATCTACTTTATTTATGGGTGACGTAAGATAAGGATTTAATTTTGACCGAATAAATCTTTATTCATAGGCTTGACATATAAAACTGATTTGATGAGATTTTCTTAACTAAAACGATGTTATTGGATAAAACAAATCTATACTTACCTTTGACTTTTCTAGCAAAGGTAAAAAAATCGGTTCTGTTTTTATCCAATAACAAATCTTTAATGTCAAGCCTATAAATACCAAAACAAATTTATAATTAATATCATTATTCTATTTCCAGCAAGCATTAATTACCTTTGGCTTTTCTGCCTACTATTTCTAGTAAATATGATGACTTTTTATATAAGTATAGATTTCAATAATGCAAAGACTGAGATCATAAAAAAGAATCCTAAAAACTGAAACAATATATTTTTGCATAATTTAAGGCCATTAAGAAATCGATCTGTAAACCAGATTTGATTTTCAGAATATGTTTTTTCATTTCGAATTCCATACAAAATGGAATTCTTTCCAACCAATAGATGTCATAGCAAATATTAACTCTTAACTATTAGACTATTAGTACATACCGAGCAAATTGTGTACTGATTTTAGAAAGTTAAAATTATTCATGTTACATTTTATGCATGTTGAACGGTGGGTTTTAAATATTGTTTCATAGAATGTAAATGTGTATTATATTATTTTTATGAGATGTTGAATTTGAAAATTAATAGAATTTTCTTCATAGGAATTTTAAATGTAACAATATTCTTTGGTATACACTACTAATAAAATCTATATTTAAAGTTTATATTTTTTTTTACCGAAAAAAATTCCTTAATTTAAGGAATCATATATCTTCAATCAGTCCACATATATATACATTCTTCACAATTTTAAATCTTGAATTTGATGAGAATTCGTATCTATGAGTGCAAAATATGGTTTAACAAATTAATTTTTTATTATTATTCTAGCCATACTTCTTTAAGAAAGTACAAATTTTAAATCAGCCGTACATTAAAAAGTACAAATTTGTTGAAATTACAAAAATAGTTTTTTATTTTAAACAGATGTAAATTTAAATCAGTTATAAAAAAGTAATATTTGTTTACCATTTAAATATTAAATCAGTCGTAATTAATGTTGTTTGTTTTAGTTACCACGATTTTCTCCAAACTAAATTAACAACTGCCATGATTTAAGGGCAACATTTAATGCTGCTCTATTTTGAAGAGACATTAAATGTATTTGGCGGGAAAAACTTGCTAAAAGTGTTAAATGGTTAATCTTTTAATATAATGATAGATGACTATTGACAGTGTTAAAATTTATTTAGTTTAAGCACGTGTTAATATTTCATTGGTGAATAACTCAATAAACAACAAAAATAAAACCAAACAATATTTTTATACTAAATCGATTGAACCCCATCGAAATACATGATTCGGCTCGATTTTTCAATTCTTGTCCTATTGTTTGCTCATTCCTAGCTAGAATGTACTCCCTGTTCATGGTTTAATCCATACATACAAGGACCGTGAGCTAAACACAATTGGGCCTTCATTGAAGTTATTGGGCTTCATTTTCGAAAAGGTACTTGAGATAAAAGCCCACTTCCAAGTTTCTCCATTTGCCAACACACTGAACCCAATTAGTCATCACCTGTAAGCCTAACTTTTCTCACCTTCACGCACTGGCGGCGATGGCGGCGGCCGGAAAACGAGTGGTGACCCTCGGCAGCAAAGGCTCTTCTTTAACTCCTTCCTCCGTATTCGATGTCGCCAATGGCTTCGCTCGCGTCACGATCGACTCCTCCGCCCTCTCCCGCCGCTCCTCCTCCTCCACCTCTTCGAATTCCGCCGCCGCGAAATTTCCATTTACAGTTCCGAGTTATTTCTCGCTCGAAGAAGCTAGGGCTTCCTTGATCCTCCTGCTGAACAAGTTACTACTTTCCTCGTCTTCATCCTCCGCCGCTGCCCAGCTGCTCGAGATCCTCGAGCGAGGTGTTTGCATATCGGAATACACCCTGAACGACGTCGCATCGGGTGATTTGCCGCAGCTTGATTACTCCGTCGCGGCTATCGACGGCGTCTCCGCCATCCTCGACCACCGCTCGTCTGCTCTGGCCTCCATCGCCGACGCCTTCGCAGCTCTCTCGTGCGAGGCCCTGCGAGCTGATGTGTCATCGTTCAATCTGATGGACTCCGGTGACGGATCCTCGGCGAAGGACGCTGTTGCCGTTGCCGCTGATTTTAAGGTGTTTTTCAATGGGTCAAAGCTGGTAAACACGGGGAAAAAGCTTTCAGATCTTTCGATGGCGGAGATTCCTTCTGTCCATGGCAATTTCAGGGAAGTCTCTCGTTTGCTACACTCAAAAACTAGGGTTCAGTTGAATTCCGGGTTCAGGGCGGGATCGGCAAAAGACATGTCCACTGCATTGTCATCGTTGGCAATGTCCCTGTTGAATTTGGGGGATATTAGTGTCCGCCGATCAAACCTCCTGGCCGAATCAATTTCAGATACTATAATTCGTGCTCGTTTGGTGGAGATGTTGCCTGCTGAGTGCCGGTCTGCAGGTACATTGGAGGCGCTGCACATGTCCTCACAAGCTGCTCTCAGAAAAAAGGACTACTTTTTGTTCCTGCACAATATTTATGAATTACTGGATGTGGGCAGGAAGATTGTTTCTTGTGAGGGGTTAATTGCATTTGTGGCGCTCGAAGGGAGTGAGATTTTTTCCCAGACAATTCAAAGGGACAATGGAAATGTGGATAAGGCTATGGGCGGAGAATGTGTGAAGGCTGACAAGAAAAATGAGAAGAAAAAGAAGGTTGTTTTGGGGAAAGGGTCAATTGCTCTTGTGCAGTTCATTAAAGACAGATTGCTGGGTGGAGCAGCAAAAGCTGACTTGGAAAAATGCACTCAGGAATTCCTTGCCTTGCTGGACCCTAGGGGTTCGGGGTTTAATGATCTCATTGTGAAAGTGAAAGAGATTGTTGAAAGTAATGAAAGCCGAAGGCTTCCTAAGCTCCCTAAGGTACTGCAGCCATAATCAAATGCAGTTTGAGCATTATTCATGATCTATGTCTATCCAGTGTTTTTCTTTCTATGCTTCTGCCTGTTTATACTGTTTGATCAGCCTTTATGGTCCAAGATGTCCTTTTTGTGGGGTGTGTGGGGGATAGGTTCTTAGCGAGCGTAATGTCAAGTTTAATGAATGGAAGTTCTTTGTTTTGTGTTAGATTGATTTAGATTATCATGTTATAATGTGTCGTTTAGTGCATTCACCCAATATTATAGCCTCAAACATCAAAAAAGGAAATTTCTTGATGAAGACCATTTCTTTCACCGGATTGTACTTCACATGAAGTTTCTGGTTAAAATATCTCAAATCCTCACCTGATTATACTAATTTTCTCATTTGGTTATTTGATCCTTGGCTGATTATGCTATGGTAATTTAGTTATAGCTGTGATCATAAATTGTCCTTTTTGCCAATGTTCTCTATAACAAATGGTTATAGCTTGTTTATTGGGGCATTTTTGTAGTTTCTGGATATAGTATGTTTCTCCAGATTCCAGAGTCATTCGATAATTGAATCCATTTGTCTATTCACATTACATCTCCAGTTACATGGAAACAGTAATAATTTGGATTAGATATATGTACTTTTTGTCTGTCGTTATGCAGGGTACTCGTGATTTTGCGAAAGAGCAGATGGCAGTCAGAGAGAAAGCTTTCTCAATTATAGTTGAGGTTTTCAAAAGGCACGGTGCCATGGCTTTAGATACTCCTGCTTTTGAATTGAGGGAGACTCTTATGGGAAAGTATGGAGAAGACTCGAAGCTGATCTATGACCTTGCTGATCAGGTAAGGCTGTTCTTCTGATGAGCCTTTCTAATACAGAATTAACATCCTACTTTTCCAGTTTGTTAGATAATAAACACTCTCCAGACTGAAAATCTGTGCAGTTATGCAGTGAACCAGTTATTTCATATCCTGGTTAAAGTTACTTGGCTTTGATATTACTGCATATAGGCACCCTATTCATAAATTGTTCAGTCTGTTCAATTCTTTCAATCTGAACAAACTGTGTGGAGTTCATAAGCAAAAAAACTGACGGAACCTAAATTTTAGTTTGTCAGTTTAGTTTGTTTTTTTCCCTAAAGACTTCTCTTTTCTCTAGGGTAGATTTTAGTTTTAGCTATTTTACCTTTTTCTAGTGTTTTTTTTTCTTCAAATTATTATTTCATTCGTGTTCTACTGTTCATTAGCTCAAATATGCTTTTTAAACAATTTGCAGGGTGGGGAACTATGTTCACTGCGTTATGATCTGACGGTCCCTTTTGCCCGATATGTGGCTATGAACGGTCTGACGTCGTTCAAAAGGTATCAGATAGCCAAAGTGTACCGAAGGGACAACCCCTCCAAAGGAAGGTACCGCGAATTCTATCAATGCGACTTTGATATCGCTGGCCAATTTGAGAAGATGGGCCCAGATTTTGAGGTCATCAAGATCTTGACCGAGTTGCTTGATGAGCTTGATATTGGTGATTATGAGGTAATTTTCTTTGTGGTGCCACTGCATTCCATTCTTGTTGGTATTCTGTTTAATGTGGAAAATGCTTACTATTGTCCATCTGAAAACAATTCTCAATTTTAGCTCCAAAATTTGGCAAAATACATGTCATTCTTTTAAAAAAGAAGTGAAACGACTTTTATTTTGGTTATTATGAATATTATTTTTCATAATCAAGCAATTAACTTTTATTTCCATTATATTTTCCAGGTGAAATTAAATCACCGGAAGCTGCTGGATGGCATGCTAGCTATTTGTGGGGTGCCACAAGAAAAATTCAGAACTATCTGCTCGAGCATTGACAAACTAGACAAGCAGACGTTTGAGCAGGTCAAAAAGGAAATGGTGAGTCCACGCTTATTAACCCGTAATACGTGAATAT